GTTCATCTGTTATCCTATTCTCCGTCTTACTCTTAATTCTTTCAATAATAACTCTACCATACACTTTGCCAGGTATACTCAACAGACTTGTCCCCCTATAATTTTTGCACTCTCTTTTATCCCCTTTGCCTTTATACAAAGGAACTATGCATGCTCTCTGCCAATCCCTAGGTACCTTACCCTCTTCCATATATTTATTAAATAATTGCACCAACCACTCCAAAACTATATCCCCACCTGCTTTTAACATTTATATCTTTATCCCATCAATCCCGGCTGCCTTACCCCCTTTCATTTTACCTACTGCCTCACAAACTTCCCCCACACTCACAACTGGCTCTTCCTCACTCCTACAAGATGTTGTTCCTCCTTGCCCTATACACGAAATCACAGCTTCCCTATCTTCATCAACATTTAACAATTCCTCAAAATATTCCCTCCATCTTCCCAATACCTCTAACTCTCCATTTAATAACTCTCCTCTCCTATTTTTAACTGGCAAATCCATTTGTTCTCTAGGCTTTCTTAACTTGTTAATCTCACTCCAAAACTTTTTCTTATTTTCAACAAAATTTGTTGATAACATCTCACCCACTCTCTCATTTGCTCTCTTTTTCATTGCTTCACCACTCTCTTAACCTCTCTCTTTTTCTCCATATACTCTTCCCTCCTTGCATCACTTCCACTTTGTAAAAACTTCTCATATGCTAACTTTTTTCTCCCTTATTACTCTCTTCACATCATCATTCCACCAATCGCTCCTCTTCCCTACCGCACCCACTTTCCTGTAACCACAAACTTCTGCTGAACACTCTAACACTACATTTTTAAACCTACCCCATACCTCTTCGACCCCATTGCCTACGCTCTCATTAGCCCATCTATCCTCCAATAGCTGTTTATATCTTACCCTAACTGCCTCCTCTTTTAGTTTATAAACCTTTACCTCTCTCTTCCCTGATGCTTCTATTCTCCTTGTATCCCATCTACCTTTTACTCTCAGTGTAGCTACAACTAGAAAGTGATCTGATATATCTGTGGCCCCTCTATAAACATGTACATCCTGAAGTCTACTCAACAGTCTTTTATCTACCAATACATAATCCAACAAACTACTGTCATTTTGCCCTACATCATATCTTGTATACTTATTTATCCTCTTTTTCTTAAAAATTGTATTACCTATAACTAAACCCCTTTCTATACAAAGTTCAATCAAAGGGCTCCCATTATCATTTACACCTGACACCCCAAACTTACCTACTACACCCTCTCTAAAAGTTTCTCCTACTTTAGCATTCAGGTCCCCTACCACAATTACTCTCACACTTGGTTCAAAGGCTCCTATACATTCACTTAACATCTCCCAAAATCTCTCTCTCTCCTCTGCATTCCTCTCTTCTCCAGGTGCATACACGCTTATTATGACCCACTTCTCGCATCCAACCTTTACTTTAATCCACATAATTCTTGAATTTACACATTCATATTCTCTTTTCTCCTTCCATAACTGATCATTCAACATTACTGCTACCCCTTCCTTTGCTCTAACTCTCTCAGATACTCCAGATTTAATCCCATTTATTTCCCCCCACCGAACTCCCCTACCCCCTTCAGCTTTGTTTCGCTTAGGGCCAGGACATCCAACTTCTTTTCATTCATAACTTCAGCAATCATTCGGCCGTACTAGTACGGCCGAAACCCTGAAAGGGTTAATGGAAGGATTCAGTGGTGTGCAACCTATTCTAGCACAGATGCTACCCTACTTATGAACATTTCAGTTACGAACATTCGGACATACGAACAGACTGTGGTGTTAAAGTTTCATTTGCATTGCTTCCGCAAATCCGAATTTTAAGTTGCACACCTTCTGCATCATCAAATGATGAAGCATTTGATGACAAAGTGTATGAGGTTGACACCCTCTCCCCCAGTAGCCTCACACAACCTGTGATCTTCCTCTCTTCCATCACCTCAAGTTTATTGTACCAGTTTAAAAGGTAAGAAGTTTTTTATTACAGTATTTATTATTAAAATATATTTAGTATTAAGAACCATACATTACTGATACAGTGGACCCCCGGTTAACGATATTTTTTCATTCCAGAAGTATGTTCAGGTGCCAGTACTGACCGAATTTGTTCCCATAAGGAATATTGTGAAGTAGATTAGTCCATTTCAGACCCCCAAACATAGGTATACAAACGCACATACATAAATACACTTACATAATTGGTTGCATTGGGAGGTGATCGTTAAGCGGGGGTCCACTGTACTGTACAGTATTGTCTTTAAGTTTTCAATGAACAACAGTGCAGAGAGAGAACAATAATAATAATGATGATAATGTTAAAAACAATAATAAATGTAATAGAAAAATGGCAAAATTATGACTTATGAACAATTCAAGATACAAACAGCCTTCTGGAACATAACTTGTTCGTAAGTTGGGGGGTGTCTGTGGTTTACTGAAAATATGATTGTCTTTGCAAGAAATAGTTTAGCAATAATTAAAGATTTTGGAATAAACTTCAAATCAAGCCCAGCTAATCTGTGGTTCCTTTGTTTTTCAGCTCATCCTTTTACCAGAAGAATTAGACATGTCAGCATCCAGGGATATAAAAACTCATTTAAGTGGCAGAAATACTGCAGATATATATTTCACCAGTATGGGACATAATACACACTTCATTGTCAGAATTACTGCTTGCTGAGTGTCAGTGTATTGCATTTTAAAACTCATCTAATACATGTATTGCCCTTCACAGCCTGTGGCTGTACCTTTACTTCACACACTGAAATATTGATGCACATCATCACCCATTGCAACAGTACTTTTATCTTAAATAATGCACATGCAAAAATCCCATCTCAAGCATCTGCAAAAATCCCATCTCAAACATCTGCAAAAATCTCATCTCAAGCATCAAGATAATTTTCCACAAATTTCTTTAAGAATTTTAATATTATAAATGCTTTATTTTCCAATATCCTTTTGGGAATCATTTTGGTGCTGGTGGAACATACACTAAAGCTAAATCTTGACAAGAAAGTATAACAGAATGCATCAGTAATATCTCACATGGACTACCAGCTTTGACAAATCAGACACCAGGAAAGAAGGTTATACAGACTGGCCAGATTATATTAGTGTCACATATTGCTTTAGCCCCAGCAAGTAAGTGTAACACTGCTACTTATCCAAGTCAAGTTATGCATTATATACAAAAATTATTAGTTTCTTGAGTTTGATTGTGTAATTTTTAGGGATGAAATTTTTTTACTAGGTCTGACTTTTTTTTTTGTGTGTGTGTTGGTTAATTGTTCCAGTAGTGCATTCTGAATATTTTATGCATATTTATTGAAAAGTAAAATTAGGGAAAAAAAGTTGAAAAAAATGAAATTTTTCTGCACTAAGGAAGTAACATTAATGAATAAATTAATAGTATTATGTTTTGTTTTAGCCAGGAAAGCAAGTTATAAATTCATTTCAAAGATGGACAAACAAGTCATTCAAGACATTCATGCTTAAATTTTTTTAAACTGTAGTGAGAATCTGTGAATATTGTTTCCTATAACAGACTACTTAATCTGCACTATATCCAAATTCAAGTTAGACTCAAAAAGTTGTCAGAATTTACTAACACTGTCGAAAACTTGAGTTGTATAATGGGCAGCTTTACCTGGGAGAATCCAGACACCTGCTGATATGTGTGTCACTGTTATACCTCACTGAGGCAACATTATGGAAGAATTGCGAATTAACAGACATGAATACTAACTGCTATAATTAAAACATTGAATAAATGCACAATTTTATACCCATTGTATAAGCTTTTCTCTCTAAGTCAATCTTGATGTCATAAGTCAATACTTTACACCCAGAAGAAAATGGCATTTAATTATCATTTTTAAATTGTTTTGAGGATTCCATTTCTTGCTCTCCTACACAGAAATTTTATGAGGATTATCTTGACTATTTATCTTGATAATTAATCGATGCATTTTACCTTTGGTAGAGCAAATTTTTTGTACAAAGTGAAATTTGAAGTAGGATTTACTCTATGAGGATCTACATCTTTGTGCAAAAATACTGAACAGAAATCACTATAGAATCCAGGAGAAGTCTCATAGGAGAGACTATGTTGTTAGAAAGTGTCTCAAAGATGTCATAATGAGAGACATTATTACAACACATCAGAATGTGCCTTGTGAAACATAATGGAAATTGATATACACAATCTGTATTATGTAATGTAAATTATAGAATGTGATTTATAGAAATTAACATGAGGGTTATGAATTGAAGACTTATTGTTGCATGTTTATCATCAGTTTCATTATCCTGCTTTTCCTTCTCTATAAACTAGACCTTTGTTATTATTTGTTTGTAGATTCAGTAAACACAGTTATGGTGTCATGTTGTATTTAATTTTTCATGAATACCTTAGTTCACTTGGGCAGTATTTGAAGGCCTATAATTTTTGTTGCCTTTTTTATTTTAGCATCCATTAGCTTATTCTTAACCTGACTATTTGGGGTTTAAATTTGCAATATTCCACTTGTCGCATTATCTAAATGCATTCTGAGAACATTGTATTTATTATCTTGCCCATTTCTTCAAAATTACTTATTTTGTCTTTATCATTATTTCTTTTAACATTTTTTTTCTTATAATCTTGAAAAAAAAAAAGTTGGTTCCGTCTTTGCCTTCTGGCGTTTTTCACCTGATGTACATTGTGCATCTTTTGGTCAAATATTTAATTAAATATAAAAACAAACATGAGTGTTTTACACAGAACAGAAACTAAATCAAGAGTGTATTAAAAAATTTCCTGAAGAATCACAACGAGTTTCTCTCTTGAAAGCTCAGACAGAAGAGAGACCTTATCAGTGCTCAGAGTGTCTAAAAACCTTTGCAAAAAAGAAAAAAACTAATGAAACATCCTGAGAGTTCATATAGGAGATTTGACCTCATCATGTATAGTGTGTCAAAAAAAGCTTTTCAAGAAAATCGAATCTAATCACTCACTTGAGAGTTCATACAGGAGAGAGGCCTTATCATTGTTCAGAGTGTTTAAAGACCTTTTCCAGCAAGTCACAACTTAATAGTCATTTAAGAGTTCATACAAGAATGAAACCGTATCAGTGTTCAGAGTGTCTAAGGACCTTTTTAAGCAAATCTCGACTAATAACCCACTTCAGGGAACATACAGGAGTGGAACCTTATCAGTGTTCGGAGTGTCTAAAGACCTTTTCAAAAAAATCAAATCTAATGCACATGAGAGTTCGTATTAGAAAGAAGCCATTTCATTGTTCCGAATGTCTAAAAGTCTTTTCAGAAAAATCAAATCTAATACAACACCTGAGAGTTCATACAGGAGAAAAACCATATCAGTGTTCAGAGTGTCTAAAGGTTTTGTCAGACAGATCAAGCCTAACACAGCACATGAGGGTTCATACAGGAGAGAGACCTCACCAGTGCTCAGAGTGTCTGAAGGCCTTTTCAATAAAAAAAGATCTAATAAGGCACCTGAGAGTTCATACAGGAGAAAAACCATATCAGTGTTCAGAGTGTCTAAAAGCTTTTTCGAGTAAATCACATCTAATCCGCCACTTGAGAGTTCATACAGGAGAGAAACCTTATCAGTGTTCAGAATGTCTAAAGGTATTTTCCCATAAAAGTGATCTAACAAAACACTTGAGAGTTCATACAGGAGAGAAACCATATAAGTGTTCTGAGTGTCTAAAGTGTTTCTCAGACAAATCATATCTAACAAAGCACCTGAAGGTTCATACTGGAGAGAAACCATATCAATGTTTAGAGTGTCTGAAGTCATTTTCCCATAAAAGTGCTTTAACAAAACACTTGAGAATTCATACAGGAGAGAAACCTTATCAGTGTTCAGAGTGCTTAAAGGCATTTTCCCAAAAAGGTTCTTTAACAAAACACTTTAGAGTTCATACAAGAGAGAAACAACAGGCCACCAGCTCTCTTCAAGATGGAGCTTGATAAATATCTCAAGTTAGCTCCCAAGCCCCTGGGTTATAGTGCCCCACATTGAACTGTATGTAGCCAGCACCAGTAGCCTAATAGATCAAGAGGTCTGGTCTTTGGGTGGTGATTCTAAAAATTAGCTTTGATAACCTTCAGGTATTAACCCTTACACTGTCAGTCCTGTAATATTATGGCTTTGAAGCCAACGTTGGTCCCGAAATACTATGCTAAAATTCTAGCGGCTTCCAGTCTTGTAGGAGATAGCTGGTAGGCCTAGTTACAACTAGCCTTATGTTGTAACAATGGGGAAATAATGGCTCCTTATGTTCCTTCCAGTTTTTATTTAATACATATATCAAGTCTCTTGGTATCCAGGAAGCAAGTTAAAATTGCAATCCCCTATTCTCAGGGATGTGGTACTATACAGCGAAGAACATAATTCTATGTTCGAGTTCTTATAAATTATAAAAACCCCACACCATAAATAATTTACCAATAATAACAAACTTTGTACATTGGCATAAGAAATCTTATTATGAAGAAAGATTGAAGACCCTTAAACTACATTCACTTGTCCAGACGAAGAATGAGGGGAGACATGACGAAGTGTTATAAGTTAAGATGGGAATTAAATAAAGGATATACTAAGTCTTGAGTATAACCTCTCTCCAAGAGAGAGCCCGCAGTAATTGATTCAAATTAGTACAAGTATAGATTTAGAAAGGATATAGGAACGTATTGGTTGGAAATAGGTAGTTGATGAGTGAACATCTAACCTAGTTGGGTTATTGAGGCTAAAACTTCGGGTAATTCATATTTAGGTTGGGTAAAATACATGAGGTCCCTTTTTAGCATTTATGGATTTGGAAAAGGTGTATGACAGGGTGATATGGGGCAATGTGGACAATGTTGCAGGTGAATGGTGTAGAGGTAGGATACTGAAGCAGTGAAGAGTTTTTATACAAGATAGTGAGCTTCAAGTTAAGAGTCCATAGGAAAGAGGGAATTATTTCCCAGTAAAAGTAGGTCCTTAGACTAGGATGTGTGATGTCACCGTGGTGTCTAATTTAATTATTGATGGGGTTGTAAGAGAAGTATATGCCGAGGGGTCTTGACAAGAGGCGTGGAGTTAAAAGATAAAGAATCAAACATAAAGTGGGAGATGTCACAGTTGCTCTTTGCTGAAGACACGGTGCTCTTGGGAGATTCTGAAGAGAAGTTTGCAGAGATGGTGGATGAATTTGTAGGGTGTGCAAAAGAAGAAAATTAAAAGTGAATACAGAAAGCAGTAAGGTATGTGGATAACAAAAGATTAGTGATGAAATATTGATATCAGCATGGAAGGAAGAGTATGAGGAGGTGAATGTATTCCGATATTTGGGAGTGTCCTGTCAGTGGATGGGTCTATGAAAGATGAGTAATCATAGAATTGATTAGGGAGAAAGGGTGAGTGGTCACTTAGGAGTCTGTTGAGACAAAGAACTTTGTCCATGGAGCAAAGAGAATGTAGAGAGTATAGTTTTACCAACACTCTTATATGGGTGGTGAAGTATGGTTATGAATGTTGTGGCAGCGAGGAGAAGGCAGTGGAGAGATGTCATGTCCTTGAGGGCAAAGTGTGGACTGAATTATGCAGAGAATTCGAGTTTGGAAAGTTAGGAGGAGGTGCAGGATTACCAAAACTGTTGTCCAGAGGGCTGAGGAAGGGTTTTGTTGAGTGGTTCGGACATGTAGAGAGAATGGAGCGAAACAGAATGGACTTCAGAGTGTCATCAGTCTGTAGTGGAAGGAAGGCGGGGTAGGTCGGCCATAGAAAGGTTGAGGGAATGAGGGTAAAGGAGTTTTGTGTGGGATGGCTTGGACTTCCAGCAGCATGCGTGGAGCGTGTTTGCATATGGAGTGAATCTGACCAAGACCGAATTAGCTACTTTTAATCTTGACGTGCGATTTGGAGTGTCGGACAAAGTAACATTTACATGAAGGTTCAGGAGAAACCAAGGAGGCCGGTACTTTAGTCCTAAAATGGACGTCCAGTGCCGATGCACTCTGAAGGTAGGGTGTTTATAATGTTGCAAGCTAAAAAACTGTAGTCTAGTCAAAACACCCTATCAGCTAGACAGTGATGGTAGTGAATGATCGATGAAAGTTTTTCCTTTTATCTCAACACCCGCATAGGTGGGAATCGGACCAGTGTAAAATAATAAAAAAAACAATACATGAGTGAAGGAGTTCGGACTTGAGTCTGGGACTATGCATATGAGTGAAGAGTTATCAGAGCTTAATACTTGTACCAGGCTTGAAAACCTGCGGTTCAGGGACAAATGTTTTGTTAGTGGATGGATTGCGAGTGAAGACCTGCCTAGTATGGGACACAACAGCCTGCTGCAAAGTGTCATACCTCCGTTTCTATGTTCTCATGACTTCACGTACACAGTAACAAACTGCAACCGAACAGAGAAGTCTATAAATAGTTGAAATACAAGTATCAAATGAAACTGCAATGAACAGGACAAGAACAAAATAATTGATAATTAGAGTAAAAATGAAATTCAAATAAGGATTTGGGACACATTTACCGCCCACTAGTGCATGGTTTGGGATCGTCAATGCTTTTCTTTCCTCTGAAGTGGTTTGGGGTGGGAGGAGGTGGGAAGCACTCTTACTTGATAACATACAGAGAATTTTTTTTGAATTCCTTTTTTCTTTTCATCATAAATGTGGTCTGTATGAACGCATTTTTTTTGCATCCGTACCATTCTCTCATATTGACAAACCTTTCAATGGTTAGGGTCCATATTCTCTAATTTTTGTCGCCCTTGTTTTTTAATAAAACCACTGTGATAATTCATTCACCACTGGAACTTCCTTTCTGGCTCCTCTTTCTTTTGTTCATCTTCTCTCTGTCTTGTTCTTCTCTTTTCATTTATTCTTCTATTATGCAGGAGTTCTTCATTCATTAACTCTTGACCTTCTTTCAAAAGTTCTTCAATCCATCCACATCACATTCAAGTTTCAAGTTTGTTAGCCAATTTTAAAATCACAACACACCTTTCACATCCTTAACTCTTCTTCGCTGGTCGAAGCATGAAATCTTGAAAAACCGGCATTACACTGCTTCCAGACTCCGTGTCATACACTACTGTGACTAACACAGATAAATCTATCTCCCTTCCAAAAATCTCTTAGAGTTCTGGGGGCGAAATCTATGGCCTTGATAGCTTGATCAAAAAGATATGTGCAGATAGTGTGCTTTTTAAATGTTGAAATAACCCCCCTGATCCATGGTTGAATGAGTGGGTGGTTGTAGGGGCCATAAACACCTCTTCGTACATTAGAGTCTAGATCTTCCAAGTGAGGAGGTGGAAGGCGCATTTGTCTAAAACTAAAAGAATTTTGAAAGGACATCCTTTTCCTGGCACTACTGGCGTGCAGCCAAGGATGAAACAGTTGAAAAACCAATCCTCGACTAAGTCTAAGTCATCCATGCCTGAGATTTGTATCGACAGTGCACAGGGAGCGTAGTTGTTTACAATTTGAGAGCACGGGTTCTCGCCATGTAAACTAAGAAGGTTTTAAATTGAAACTAGCAATAATCCCCCCTATACAGTGAATACCTTGCTTAATAACCTTAAGCCCCGGCTCACACTTCACATATCCTTAGATACCATCCATTTGCCTTAGGCATTTTTTCCATCACAGGCAGTTCATCATACATTAAACATGATTCTGGCAAATACCACTTCTCTTTCACACTAAACTATAATCTAACTGAGCAACAAGATTTTTGCCATCCGTCATCGTCACACATTACTGCACTACACCATTTTGCATACTACATAATGAATCATGGCATCAGCTACATGAAACTCCTAAACCACCCAGCACTTGCAACCTAATACATCCTTGAGTTCTCATCCAATCTCACACAGCATAGGTTGTTATTCAACATGTTACAAACTTGATTCTATTTCTTGCACTTCAAGAGCACACATTCACTTTTTTGCTGCCAGATAATTTTCTAACACAAACACTGAGACAAAAGGGGGGGGGGGGGGGGGGGGGGACATTTGGGGGGGGTCGCGAGAACAATTGGGCCTTTCACGTTCTTTGTGTAATATTGGAGGGCATAGGGGCCGCAAGATTTCACTGCATCTTCTTGCCTGACACTCTTTATCCTTAATTAATTAGTTGACACAGTGAAATGGAGAGGTGAAGGTGCCGAGAAAGCTGTTGACATTTTTCCATCCTCATCATGCGTAATTAATTTGATCTCTCGGTCGAAGAGAGTAAGAGCCTTATCTTGCCTTATCTTGCCCCAGATCTCTAGTGCAAAGATTCCGTAACTTCCTCTTGGGCCATAGGTGAAATTTACTTCCATTAGTACAGTTAATACAGTATATGCGCTGACAGTCAGGGTAACTCAAGGATGCTGGACCTGCAAGGCACGATGCCTGGAGTAGCGGTACGAAAATCGTACAGCAAAATGCATCAGCCCCCCAGCTGCTGCCAGACGTAAGGTCGTAAGTCGAGTGGACTATTCGAGCAGGTCGTAAGTAGAATGGTAAGTGATATAGTTTGTGGGTGATAATAACTGACTGACTTCACTGACTGACCGAACTGACTGACTGACATAATGACTTGACTGAGCTACTGAATTGACGGCTAACTTTGGCTGAGTACTGGCTGATTTTACAGACGCTTACTGATTTACAGTTAACATTTTCACTGACGCGAGGACCCTGACAAATCTGGAAACAGTGCTAGCTCAGCAAGCAAAGTCTAGAGCAGACGATACCTTACGACTTACGATGGGCTCTTCTGACCAGTAATTCATTACCTATAATACAGTGGACCCCCGAGTTTCGGCAGCCTCGCCTTTCATGAAATTCTACCCTTTGCGGCGAAGTTTTTTGAAAAATTTTGCCTCGAGTTTCGTGAAAAAACTCATGTTTTCATCGACCGTAACCGGTACCAGTTATCGCCGGCCTTTCACCAGCACTCACCAAGCCAATCTCCCATACCATTCACGCTCAGTGTGAGCCATTGTTATACCAACACTGACCATCACCCAACCGCAGGTTCATATAAAATACGACATTTCATAATAATCCATTGTTCTTTGTGCATGCAACTTGCTGAATAAATCTCATGTACCCCAAGAAAGCTCTAGTGCACATAGGCCCTTTTGGTAAATCAAAAGTGAGTGACGGGAATAAGGAAGAGTTGGTGGGGAGGACCACAGGAAGAGCTAACCACTGGCGAACTGCAAGAGCTATTCAAACAGGGAGACAACATCAGACACAGCCGAGTGAACCTTGCTCAGAGGAAGCGGAAGAGGGAGTGATGAGGTGTACTACTATTCAGTGATATAGGACATCATGTGTGCAATGTGGAATGAGTTGCAACAGTTTGTTGAAAAGTATCGCACCTGACCCAGCTGACACAACGCCATATACTGCAACATGTTCAATGGCAGTGTTTCTGTCCACACTATCAGGGAAAC